GGACAGAAAAGGCGAGGAGGGGCTCGGGAGCGGGCTCCGAGGAGAAGCGCGGGGCCGGGACTCTCCAGCCGTGCGGCTGCTCTGGCGGGGCACCCCCCGCCCGGCGCGCCCCCCCCGCCGCTCGCCGCCCCCCGCCGCTCGCTCGCCCCCCCCGCCGCTCGCCCCCGGCGCGGCTGGCGAGGGGCCGGGCGGGCAGGACCCGCCGGGGCGGGCCGGGGAGCGGGCCCTGCCGCGCCGGCCGGGGCGGCCACCGCTCCGCTGCTGAAGGCACAGACCTAATTACCAACTCGTCGGAGCTTCTGTAATAGACTCGCGTGGAAAGGTGCTTTTACGCTCTGTAAACGTGGGTCCCACCGTTTGCTAATTAAACTCCTTCTATTTAGAAACACCTTCGTTCCAAGCAAGCCTCGGGAACGCTGGCACGGGCTGAATTTCAAACCCGCTGCCGTCTGGGCTTCTCGCGTCTAACCTGTATCTCACGACAGAACTGGGAAGCACGTGAACCGAGAGATAAAATCCTCGTACAGTGTTCCGCATACACTGTTCCTCAGACTTTCCTACCAAGGCAGAAAACAAATCTATGATGCTGTTGAATAATCTTCCAATAATTGGAGTAATTAAAATCATCATAGAGTCTGCAGTCACCCTCCTTCCTTTGACACTAGTCTTCCCTTGAACTGTTAACGTGTCTTCGGCTGAGATAAACAGAACAAGGGAGGTTTAAAATGCATGGTCCAAATAAATTTAGCGGAAGAGAATTAGTTCCTCAGACACGTTCCTGACTGCGTTCAGCAGACGAGAGGGTTTCTAAAACTATCGTGCAGATCTTTTTTTTTTTTTTTTTTTTTTTTTTAACCGCGGGGCAATATGGCTCGCCCTGTTACTCCTAAATAGTGTCACCTTAAAGATCGAGGGAAAGATGAAAGCCCGGTCTGATGCTCCACCTCGGGGCTCCGTGCGCGGGGGGCAGGAGGAGCGGGGAGTGCATTATGTAACAAACATCACAGGAAAGCTCGGGCAGAAATTGTTGGAGAGTGTCATAATTTTCATTTAATTTCCATGATCTGTTTGATCCCAGTGCTCATTCCCTTTTTATTAACTATAAAAGATTTCCTTCTAATCAAAAGCTGCACTTCATCTTTGCCCACAAATGAAAAAGTCTATAGCGGAAAGAATTCAGTGGACTCAACAGGCACCGAGGTCTGTATTTTAACACTGTCTCTATATAATCCTTCCCCCTTTTAATGCCTACTCTTGAGCAGAATAGTGGGGAAGCCTTTTCTTAACTGAAGTTACTAATTTATCACCAGGTCCCCCTCTGCGTTGCTCTGATAATCAATGGTGGTTTCTAGATCACGTAAATGAAAAGTGTAATTGAGAGAGAGGGGGGAGGGGGGGGTCGCACAGAAGTCCTGTTGCTAAAAAAAAAAAAAAAAAAACAAACACAAACAAGCAAACAAAAAAATCTGGCGGGACCCAATTATTTATCTCGGCGAAGAGCAGTTTGCCTGTTTTTTCTGCCCACGTCCCTTCTGTTTGGCAGAAAATGAGGCTGCTTCTCTCGAACTTGGAAAGGTTTGCCCCTTTCCCACCCGTAACATCCATGTGTAGAACTCCGTGCCCCTCCTAGGATTCACGGGAAATTGTACAGCAACCTTTCATTTAACTGCTGTTAAATCGATTTATTTGGAAAATATTTGGCAGCTCTTTCCCAGAGCTCTGTTTGAACAGAAGAGCCATTTCATCTGACGCTGTTGAATATGAACCCATGAGCCTCCCAATCAGCTTTAATGAACGAATTGTTTTCCAGCTTTACCTCCTAAAGACAGCAACTTTAGTAGTTGCACAGATCAAAAGACACGCGTAAAGGGAAGATGGGAAACAATATTGTTCAAAGGAAGTGAACTGTTGCATTTAATTAGGCTATTCTTCTTTATTAGTATTCATATTGAGATTTTTTTTTAAAGATTTATGTTGATTTAACCGTAATGTATTTATGATGTAAATATATTCCGAGATGAAAACGTCACGGATCAATTGTAAAGGACCCGGATACATAATTTTAAAAAATCAGTTTCAGTTTATATGAGGTTCTCACCCCACTTTCGCTTCTTAGTCAGATTTGTTTATGCAGAATCGACATTTAATAGTGCTAATTGCACTCCAGTTAAATTGCCCTGATTGCAGAAAGGGAAGCAATTTTCGTGCTCTCTGTCTGGGTTTGGAAGAAATTGTTTTATATTCACCTCTTTATAAAGAAGTGGAGATAAGGCACCGAGCCTTTGCACAAATTGCACTTATGGGCTGACTGGCAGCATTCAGGCGCTATAATAGAGCATTATTTGGCCGGTTTGAATAATGTAAAGCATTTGCTGAAAGCTATTCTCCTGAAAATTGCTTTAACTTTTAAAAGGGTGATGATTCACTCCAAACCAGGCCTTTGTTACATTGTCATTATCCCCCCAAATGTTTTAACAGTCAGCTCAACACTTTAGCATAACACATTGATCTTTGTTTAAAAACTCGATTTGGGGAGTATGAAAAAATCTGTCGGAAAATACTTGACCCCCTAAAGATTTTAGCAGCGTTCCCCCTTTCGGCGCCCTTCGCTCAGCCTTTTCCACCGCCTGCCTGGTTCCTGCGGGTTTTAGTTACTTTTCCGCTTACAAAGGGGGGCGAGGAGCTGGATGTGAGGCGGGCAGAGCCATCCGTCTGCCTCCAGGCACAACAGAAACCCCACTTTGCTGGGGGAGCGCAAGCGGGCAGCGGATGCCTTTACTCGCTGAGGCAGAGGCAGCATTTTCAAACGTCACGCTCCCGAGCTGCCTTCCAGCCTTATTTTATTTACGACTTTCCCCCGGGGAGAGGGGAAAGACCCTCTCCCCCCCGCCGCCCCGGGGTTGGCCAGAAGCGCCTCGCTGCCACTTGACGACCACCTCGGCGCGCTCCTGGGAAGGAGCGGGTTCCCCCCGGAGGAAGGAAGGAGGAAGAAGGGAAGGAGGGAGGGAGGGAGGGAAGGAAGGAGGGAGGGAGGGAGGGAAGGAGGGAGGGAGGGAGGGAGGGAAGGAGGGAGGGAGGGAAGGAAGGAGTCACCTGTTGGGCGATTGCTCCCGGGTGCCCCTGTCGGACTCCTCGCCTCGCCCGCGGGGGTGATGCCGCTCCCCCCGCCACCGCCTTTCAAATCGCCTCCGCCCGCCGAGCGCTACAGCCCCCCTGGGTAAAGCCGCCGCTTGTGATCTGCTCCGGGCAGAGCCTCCCGAGAAGCGCACCCCCCGGACCCCCGCGCCGGCTGCCAGCCAATGTGGAAAGCATTAAGCGCAGAGCAGCATTTCCTCCTGCTGCCCCGACTCTGCCTAACGCGCGGCGGCAAAGAGGCGAGCGCCCTTTGAAAATAGCCTTAGACGGTTCAATAAAAAGATCGTCTCCAGGGACGTCCTTCCCTAGCGTGGCAGGCGTCCTGCAGATTGCATAACACAATGTACAACAAAACGCAACGCCCGCCTCGTTTGAGCCCGAAAAAAACCCCCTCCATATCTAAACAAGTAAAAAAAAAAAAAAAGAGAAATCCTCTCAAATTCGCGGTTTCTCCATCTTTCTCCTTAGCGATGCCTATTTTGCATCTGCTAGGAGGTTTTACACTGGATGGCTGAGGCGGCACCGAGGAGAAGGAAATACTGCCTCAAATGCAGAGCAAGCACCCGGCGTTGCTTGAACGCACTCGTATTTCTGGTTCAGAGCTGTCCCCAGCTGCACTGGGGGCGGCAGGAGCAGAGGGAAAAGCTCCTATTCCCTGAGACGGTCGCAATGATGAAAAGTTGCACGCCTATTGATCTTCCGCGGACACAGTACGGGCAAGTTCTAGCCAATTACTTAAGAAGCCTCCGATAATTACAAATCAAAGGGACTAGCTCGCAAGACGTTGAGGAGCCGAGGTCTGGACTTACATTTCGCACGTGCAGAGAGCAGGTAAAGTCTCTGTCGCTCACTGGGCGTGTGGAGTGTGCAAAGTGCAGAGGCCACAGGCGAGTGCTGGGGAGGCTTGTTCCAGCAGCGCCCTGGCACTGCTAGGAGGGAGCAAGCCTTCTGCCATCAGCAGCACCGTTTCCCCGGGGGTACGTGAGGCTTGGGAAACGTGCAGCAGGCTGCGAATTTGACTTTCAAAGTATTTTGCCGGGGATTACTCCGTAAAATAGAAATCCTCTCTCTTAAGCGACAGGATGTCATATGCCTATGCCCCTCGTCCCCCCGTCCCGCCCCGCGACGGGAGCAAAGGGATGCCTGTCGGTTGCCTGACTTGGGATTTTTTGGCACTTAACTAAAAAAGCCGCCTCGGTTCCCTTTGCGAATAAAGACACACGTCGCGCCCGGAACCGCTTCCAGCATTTAGCGAAGCCAAACCAAAACCTGAACGTGCTTTCACAAAATGTCACTAGCCGCAGTCAGGTTATCCGTACCCAACACGGAGAGCTGCCCGGCGGCCTGCGAAGGCGGCGGAGGGCCTGTTGAATACACGCAGCGCAGGTGTGGGTTGCCGGAGGCGAGGGTCGCAGCGGAGGGAGCAGGCAGCGGGGGGACCCGACCCATCCTGCGCGGTTTGCGGCCGGCGGCGGAGCGGCCTCCGGCGCGACCCTCGCCCTCTGCGGCTCTCCCCGCGGGCAGCCCGGTGCCGGGGCGGCGTCACCCCGGCCCTCGCGTCTCCCGACGGGGAGTCACAACCCGGCGGGCAGCCGGGGGGTGGTGGGGGGGGCGTGTGTGTGGGGGGGTAGGGGGGTGTGTTTGCCGTTAATTGCAGCGCAGTCGCCGCAGTCCGGAGCGGGGAGTTTTCTCCCCGCGCGCTGACTGGCACGCGCCCCAGAGCCCCGGCGCCGGCACCTCCGCGCAGCCTGATTGGCTGCCGGGCCGCTCCGGCCCGCTCCGCCCGCGCCCTCATTGGGCGAGCGCCGCCGCCAGCGGTACTTCAAAGCGGGCGCTGCCCGCACTTAGGCAGAGTTTGGCCCCGCCGCGCCGGAGTGTCCGTAGTGCCGCCGGGCAGCGCGGGGCGCACACCGAGCGCCGGCCCCCTCCGCCCCACCGCCCAGCCCAGCGACGTGCTATGGCTACGTCTATCCTCGGGGTAAGTCGGCGCCGCGCGTTTCTCGCGGCTCCCCGGCGGCGGTTCCGCTGCCCTCCGGAAAAAAAAAAAAAAAAAAAAAAGAAAAAAAATCAAAAAACAACCCAACAAATCCCCCCCCCCCGAAAAAAAAAAGCGCCAAATCAAAAAAAAAAAAAAAAAAAACCAAACCAACCCAAAACACCCTAAACCTCCAAAGAACGCCCCAAACACCGAAGTGTTGCTGCCGCCAGCCGCGCCGCGGCTGCCCCCCGCGCAGATCGCGCTGACCCGCGGGCGAGCGGTGACCCCGGCCCGCCTCGGGGGACGCCTCCGCGGGTTTCCCATCGGGTCGCTCGTAGAGAGTGTAGTCTGAGAACTCGCTTGGCCGGAGAGAAGTCGGGCTGCTTGTGCTTCCTTTTGTTTTCTGGTGGTTTTTTTTTGTGTTTGTTTTTTTTTTTTTTTTTAAACTCGAAATGCTACGGTAAATTTCCAAAGGTTTTTTGTTTTTTTTTTTGCTCGCTCGGCTCGGCGAGCGGCGGCGGCCGGAGGCTCCGCACCCCGTTCGCCCTCCTGCCATCTCGCTTTTCTGCCGCTCCCGGACGGCGGCTCGAGGAGACGCCGCATTTCGTTCCCACGGGATTTTTTTCTCTCTCTTTTTTTTTTTTTTTTTTTTTTTTTTTGGTGTCACGGCGGTAGGCTCGAGAAGCCCGGCGCTGCGCGGGGCGTCCCGGGCCGCCCTCTAGGAACACGCGTGTGGTTCGTCCCCCGCCGGGATCCGCTTCCGATGTGAATCCCCCGGGCGCCGAGACCGGTCACCGGCGGGAAACGAGTGGCGCGGCGCGGAGCGGGGCTGGAGCCTTCCTCCAAAATAGGAGAAAACTTTTCCGCGGTGCCGCTCGTCGCGCCGCCGCGTCCCCGCGGGAGCCTGGCGAGGCGGCAGGGGTGAGGCTGACGGGCCGGCTTTGTCTCTCCCGCAGGAAGAGCCGAGATTTGGAACGACTCCCCTGGCCATGCTGGCCGCCACCTGCAACAAGATCGGCAACACCAGCCCCCTGACCACCCTGCCCGAGTCCAGCGCCTTCGCCAAAGGGGGCTTCCACCCCTGGAAACGCTCCACCTCCAGCTGCAACCTGGGCTCCAGCCTCTCGGGCTTCACGGTGGCCACGAGCAGGGGCTCCAGCGGACTGGCCAGCGGCACCGGCACCGCCAACAGCGCCTTCTGCCTGGCCTCCACCTCGCCCACCTCGTCGGCCTTCAGCAGCGACTACGGCGGCCTCTTCTCCAACTCGGCGGCGGCGGCAGCGGGCGTGTCCCCGCAGGAGCCCGGCGGGCAGTCGGCCTTCATCTCCAAAGTGCACAGCTCGGCGGCCGAGAGCCTCTACCCGCGGGTGGGCATGGCGCACCCCTACGAGTCCTGGTACAAGTCGGGCTTCCACTCCACGCTCTCGGCGGGCGAGGTGGCCAACGGGGCGGCCTCCTCCTGGTGGGACGTGCACACCAACCCGGGCTCCTGGCTGGAGGTGCAGAACCCGGCGGGGGGGCTGCAGAGCTCGCTGCACTCGGGCGCCCCCCAGGCCTCGCTGCACTCCCAGCTGGGCACCTACAACCCCGACTTCAGCTCCCTCACCCACTCCGCCTTCAGCTCCACCGGCCTGGGCTCCACGGCCGCCTCGCACCTGCTCTCCACCAGCCAGCACCTGCTCACCCAGGAGGGCTTCAAGCCCGTGCTGCCCTCCTACACGGACTCCAGCGCGGCGGTGGCGGCGGCCAGCGCCATGATCTCGGGCGCCGCCGCCGCCGCCGCCGGAGGCGGCTCGGCCCGCTCCGCCCGCCGCTACTCAGGCCGCGCCACCTGCGACTGCCCCAACTGCCAGGAGGCCGAGCGGCTGGGGCCGGCGGGGGCCAGCCTGCGGCGCAAGGGGCTGCACAGCTGCCACATCCCCGGCTGCGGGAAGGTGTACGGCAAGACCTCGCACCTGAAGGCGCACCTGCGCTGGCACACGGGCGAGCGGCCCTTCGTCTGCAACTGGCTCTTCTGCGGGAAGCGCTTCACCCGCTCCGACGAGCTGCAGCGGCACCTGCGGACTCACACGGGCGAGAAGCGCTTCGCCTGCCCCGTCTGCAACAAGCGCTTCATGCGCAGCGACCACCTGAGCAAACACATCAAAACGCACAACGGGGGCGGCGGCGGCAAAAAGGGCAGCGACAGCGACACGGACGCCAGCAACCTGGAGACGCCGCGCTCCGAGTCCCCCGACCTCATCCTGCACGACGGGGTGGGCGCCGCCGCCCGCGGACCGGGCAAGGAACCTACCGCGGGGCCCGGCGACTCCTAGGGGCAGCGCCGCCCGGGAGCCCCGGCGCCCGCCCGGACGCCGCCGCCGGGGCCCGGGGCCGCAGCGGGGGCGGGCGGGCCCGGCCCGGCCCCTGGGTACCGAGTGACACTTTCTTCCGCTTCCTTTTTCTCTCCTCTTTCTGTTGGAAGGAAAGCATCCGAAGGTGAGAAAGCAAACTGCCAGTCCGAGACGGTTCCTCTGTATCTCATAAACATCTGTATAAATAGGGTTCAAAAAAGAGAAGAAAAAAAAAAAAAAAAAAAAGAAAAAAAAAAAGAAAACCAGATCGTGTTCGCTTATTTTTCTTGTAAATGTTGATCTGATAGGGGGTTTGGGTTTTTTTGTTTTTTTTTTGTTTGTTTGTTTTTTTAATTTTAATTGGTGAATTCCTGAAATTCAGGGAGGTTTTGGGGTTTTGGTTCTCTTTTTTTTTTTAATTATTTTAAATTTCTGATGCACTTTGTGGAAGTCAGTATATATGTAAAAGATATTTAAAATGTTGAGTTAACATTTCACTCAAACACACGTAAGTTAAGGTCTCTTAAAGAAATTAAATGCGTTTATCTGTATGGAAAAAAATCTTGACATATTTTCATTTTGGTATTATTAAAGGACTCTGAACAATATACTCACGGGTTTGTTGTTCTTCGTGTCCCTCCTTCCCACCCTCCCCCCCCCCCCCGCCCAGCCCTCGCAGGGGTCAGGTTTTTAGTGGGAGCCCTCGCACCCCTCCCCGTCCTCCGTACAGTGACTGTGATTAAAAAATACGGCAGGCAGGGAAGGGACCGGCCCCCGAGCCAGGCGCGCCGCCGCGCTCTGGTCGCTCTTTTCAAAGCGTGACTTAGTTTTGGGTTATTTTTTTAAAACAAATTTAAACTCAGTCCGAGCCCTGCTCCGCCAGCCGGGAACCACACCAAGCCCCAAGCGCCTTGGGCGAAAGCGGCCCCAAAATCGAGTGGAACCGAACTGTGCTGAGGAACTATTTATTTAATTTAAAAAGCCTTTAGCGCCACAAGCCTGCCTGGGTTGGGAGGTGATCTCGGGGGAATAAATCGCTAGAGTCAATACTCCGGAAAAGACATTTCATGCCTAAATGAAAATCTTGTTAAATGTTATTAATTTTGACTTAGAGCACACAGCAGCCCCCTGTGCCTTGTATTCCCTTATTAGGGATTCATGTCTTATCAAATATCTAATTAATCTCCTAGACATCATTTGTTCTGGCCAACTTTATCTCAGCTGGTCCACGGGGAAAACTCCGAATATTCTCGGTGACAAAGCTCCCTTGAAGATCCTTTTAATTGTCCAAATTAACTGCACCAAATTTGCATGTCAAACGGTAAAGGGCAACCTGAGATAAAATGTAAACGTTTTAAAAGCCCCAAACTAAGCACTTGATTTGATAACTAGGCTTTTTAATGTTATGGAAGACAACTGCTCCTTTCCTTTTCAAAGACAGTTGATCTATGCAAATAGTGAATTGGAAATGCTTATGTCCCCATGCAGTCAAATGGTCCTTGCATGTTATTTGAATATCAGTGGCTCTGCTATTGAAAAGGTTCAAGGATGCTCTCTGACTTCTTTGTGATTACTCAGTGCAGCGTCTTATTCTGAAGAAAAAAACCTCAGGAATAATTAAAGGCTGGGCTAAGGCCTGGGAACACATTTGGGACAGGAATCTCATTTAGACAGGCTCTTTCAAAATAAGGCACAGTTAAATTGACCAGAAGGCAATTATTGAAATGAAAATTATTTTCACTCCCTTTGTCTCCTGACCACCAACCTAACAGCCACAGTATTTTTTTTAAAGGCAAATTGTTAAATGAGATAATTGTGTTGTTAAAAAAAAAAAAGGGGGGGGGGGGGCGAGGAAGAAGAAGAAGAAAAAAAAAAAAAAAAAAAAAAGAGAAGTTAATTTAATCTGCCCGGTACAGATTGGAGGAATACAAATATTTTAATCCTCCATAAAACAGGGAATGCAAATAACACCGAGAAGCGGATTCTGCTGTCGGCCACCAACTGGAATAAAGACGTTGCGTTAAAAAAATACATCTGCCGTGAATACTAATAGCCGCGTCCCACCTCCTCCGCGCCACCGCTGCACAAAAGCGGCCGGGCAGCGCCTCTGCCCCGGGGCGGCGGCGGGACCCGGCGGCCGTTCCGGGCGCGGAACCCTCCCGGGAGCCGCACCTCGCACCCGGCGGCCCGCGGCACCGTCCCCGCGATTTTTCGGGCCGACAGCGTCCCGGCGCGGTGCCTGTCGGCCTCCCGGCCCCGGCCGGGGTGTCCCGGCGGGCAGGGCAGGGCAGGGCAGGGCAGGGCGGCCAAGGGGAGCGGGCGAGGGGCCGAGCTCGGGCTGAGGTAAAAGGAACGCGGGGCCGGCTCGCCGGGCCGAGGCTCCGCTCCCTGCCGGGTGGCGCTGGGGCTGCGGAGGAATGCACCCGCACGGGGTGTTGGGCAGAAGTCAGCTTTGTTTTCGATTTATAATAAAACACATCAAAGGAAACCATCCAGGTCCAGTTTCTGCCAGGCCGGGGTTACAATTCTCAGCTCAGTGATCAAGGACCTCTTTGCATTGCCTTTGCCCCTTCGGGTCAGAAAACGTCCATCACTTACAGGCTCCCCAGAAACGAAGAAGGGAACAGCTCTGGGCCGCAGAGCCGGTTCGTTTAATCAGGAAAATAGAAAGCATGTCACCTTTTCAGAAATAAATGACACCATTCTTTCGTACATGTTGGCGATAATTATATGGTCTGGGGAACTTTTACACAAAGAGGAACTAAAGAACGGACGGTGTGAGAACCGAAGAATAAATCTGATTTCACTCTTTGAATCCCTAGTTCAGCAGCACCTCTTCAGGGGGGGGAGAAGACGCCAACCCGAGGGCAGGGGAGCCCCGGGAAGGAGCGAGCTGCCCACCCGGGCTCGGCGGGGAGGGAGGCAGAGGGGGGAGCTGGGCTGGCCGCCGCCGTGGCCCCGCTCGCCCCGGGTTCTCGCTTCGCCCGAGCAACCGCTCCCCACTCCCACACCTCGCCGACAGCAGCTTCCCGCCGGCTCCCCGAGCCCGGTAAAAAGGCGCCTAAAAAACGGCCGACGACCGCAACCACCAACCGACGGGAGAAGGTAGAATGCCAGGAGAAATGATTTAGCACATGTCATTCGATCGCCGAGTCCCCGCTTCGCAGGAAGCGCGTCCCCTGCCCCCCGCGGCGAATTGCAGCCCTAACGGCTCGTTTTACACTTAAAAGGTAACATTCATGGTTTTGTTCTAATGAGATAATATATAAACACCCGATCCCGTGCCCGGACAGTTTCTTAATTGCGTCTTTCAATTCAAATGGAAACTTTATCTGCGGGAGCTGCAATTTATTTGCAGCCATTATCTGTTCGCCAAGATCCTCTCCCACCCTTCCAAAACGCAGATGAAGGGAATCTAGCAGAAAGCCCGCCCCTTCGGGTAATTGGTGCACTAAGTGTTTATTTTAAGTGAGAATAATTTAGCTACAAATTTCCTCAAGGAATAGCATTCTTAACACGTTAAAAAAAAAAAAAAAAAAAAAAAAAAAAAAAAAAGAAAATTAAAGGCTGAGGATGGGGCTTTGCGGTCGCGCCGGCGGTGCCCAGGCCCGGGCCCTCACGGCGGCTGCTGGGCGCCCCCTAGAGGCCCGCGCTGCCCCACGCTCCCGCAGCAGGCGGCGGGCTCGGGGGCGCGGCCGGAGCCCTCCGCGGGGGCGGCGGCGGCGGCGCTGCGCGGGCCGGGCGGCGGCGGGCGGGCAGCCGGCGGCGGGCCGGGGCGGCGGGAGCGGGCCCCCGGCAGCGGGCGGGCGGGGGTGAACTTCTGTGGGAGACGGCGGGGGCGGGACGGGCCCGCGGCGGCCGCGCGCACCCACCTGAGGGGCAGACGGCGGCGCGGCGGGCTCCGGGCGCGGGGGGTGGCCGGGTCGCCCCGGCAGCTCCTCCGGAGCCGACACCGGCCCGCGGGCGGGCTATTAGCAATTAATGCCGACACCGCGCCGGGGGGCGGGAAGGGGGGGGGGCACCGCCCACCGCGCGGGTCGGCCCCGCACCTGCGGCCGTCCGGGCGCGGCTCCCGGCGGGCACCCGCCGGCGGGCACCAGGCGAGGCACCGCGCCGCCGCCTTCGCGCCGCTGTTTTAACACAAACCCGCGGCAGTGCTTATTTCCGAGATGTGCTAATTGCTACTTGGATGGCAGGGCGCGAAGTCCTTGTCCGTTTCCTAGTACAAAGTAGGTTGCTAGAAAATTTGAAATTGCCTTTCAGCCTAAAGCTGCCTTACCTGAATGTCATAATTACAGTAATTATGTACATCCAAATTACATGCTAATTAAATTAGAATCAAATCGTTCTAAATCGAAATCAAATGAGGTAGCGAGAATTAATCAATGACAACATAAATAGAGAGCTTCCTTCACGGATATTTATTGTAACGATCCAGGCACGAACCTGATCTGGAAGTCACCTGTTTATTTACTTTCGGAACAGTAATAATTTACGGTTCAGCGTTCATTCTAAACGAACCGTTCCGCGGGGCGGCAGAGTTACAGGGCGGCCCGGGAGCCCCCTCGCCCGGGGGCGGAGGCTCTCCGGCCGCCCCGAGGGCCGCTCGGCGGAGCCGGCGGGAGCGGGAGCCCGCCCTGCCCTGCCCCTCCACCGCCCTCAGCGTGGGGGCGAGCTCCTGCCCCCCTCACTCCCTCCCTCGGCCCCGGGCGGCCCCGGCCCCGGCCCCTGCCCCGGCGGAAGGCCGCGCCGCCGGGCCCCGTCTCTTCCCGCCGGGCTGAGGGAGGCCCCTCACGGCGCCTCGGTGCCCGGCCCCTCAGCCCCGCCGTGAGGCAGAGGGTCTAGCCCTATTCCGCGTCTTTTAAGGAGAAAAATAAATAAATAATATAAATAAATAAATATGAATGCTCTTACCGTCATCTGTGAACCGACAGCACCTCCTACAGGGCCCCGGCGCGCTCTGCCGAGCAGCCGCGCTGAGGGCCCGGGGCGGCGGCGTCCCGCGGCGGGCGATCGGCCTGCCCGGGGCCGGGGCGGCGCCGTGAGGGCTCCCACCGGGGTCCCGCAGCTTATGCGGGGAGAGCCGCGCCCACATCATCCCCCCACGACCCTCCCCTTTCGTCTTTTAATCGGTTTTGAACCCACCGTCTTTTCTCCGACCAACGGTGTTAGGCCCAAAGGTGGTGAAGGAGGAGGCCCCTCCTTTCGCAGCCGCCTGGTCGGACGCTAAGGGCCGCTCCTCGTACCGGTAAGGTGGCACAAACCAGCCTGAGGAAAGCGCCGAGAGCA